ATAGGCCTTAATGTGAAAAGCCTTGTTATTTGGCCGGGCACAATGAAACTATATTTTTTGTTACTGTTAAGTTTTTTTTATAACATCAAGTGACGGGACTGATAAGTCGTGCGCCTGATGGTAAGTTACACGCTTGTCCATAACAGTTACAGTGCCACTCAGAGCTTTAAATTGCAAGTTGACAAGTCCCATTGTGCCTGTAATTTCACCAGCACCCTTACCCTTCAAAAGCAGGTCATAGTAATGCTGACATTACTGCTTGGCGGCAGAAATAGGTAAGGTGGCAGTACTTCCCTGGACGAATTCTTTCACAAGGACCTCTACTGCTACTATTCAACCAGTGTTTTCATATATAATGAATTATGAGCAAGTTTATTTAGAAGCAGTATTATAGCTTCTTACCAAAGAGTTCATCCAGGGAAGTACTGCCGCCTTACCTATATCTGCCGACAAGAATGTGAGCATTACTACGTTTCGGTTTTGAAAGGAAAGGATGCTGGTGAAATTGCTGGTACATGGGACATGTCAACTTACGTCTCAGAGTGACGGGCGTAGTTGCAGTGTTCCTCAGATTTATGCGATTTAAAGTTTTAAAGTTGTTTGATTCTTCTTCAAAGATCTTTGTGATTTTAAGGTCTGAGCGCAGCTACTGCAACTGTATTGGACAAACGTGTCGCTTACTACCAGAAGCACGATTTGTTCACCCCGTCACTTAGCATCATAAAGAAAAACTATAACGTAGATAAATTTGATAAAAATCAGACAAAAGTTGTCAAAGCTCACTTTTCAATGACAATTGACTACATTTTCAATACTTGTGCCAGTCTCATTTATGACATAGACGATATTAATGTTTTATTACTTAAAGTCGTCCTTAAAAGGATCAGTTACTGTTATAGTCACTCTATTCCTCAGATCGTCAGAATCTCAGAAGGACCCAGTGGTCGTTTTGCGTGCACAAACCTACAAATGTTGACTACATCATTTAGTATCTCGACATTGACACATAAATTCATATTTACAAATGTTATCCAGCATTTTAGTCAACCATGAATCTCAAACAATCAATCGTCACGAAAAACGCCTACACAACCATCGACATTTGTCGCGACAGTCTGATTGATTTCGTAAACAAAACCGCTTTGTAATGGATTTTGTACCGCCATTTATAAGTGGTGAGAGACAAAAGGTATCGTACTCTGTTGTTGGCCATTGACAGGTTATTGCGCGATTGCAGATGGCGAGTAATGAGACTATAGATCGTTGTTTGGCTTGAACACCCTTGTTTAAAAACTATTGATGTTGTAAGCTGCTTTTTGATGAAGGTTCATGGCTGGAATTTAATCACAGCTATTTCACATTTTCTTCGATTATTGGAGTTGTTTTGGGTTTAAATAGGTAGTCATTGCATTTACTTTTAACATCGATGTTCGTGTTTATTTAGATATTAGTTGTTTATGTATTTTTATTTGATTTCCTTTTGTTCTTGTTAGTTTCTTCTGTCGCCGTTAATTTCATATTCTTGGATATTGTTGTTAGTGCTTGCAGTACGACGATAAATATGTATAATAAATCTATCTGTATATGCCATAGTATACCCTTTTCAAATCATCCCTGAACACATAATTCCATTTCATTCAAAGACACTGCATGAATAAAACATGGTGTGTTTGCTCCGGACAAAGGCAGCACTTTTACGTAAGCGAAGCTTTGTGTGCAAAAAGAAGGATTGGCGTGTTCCATTTAGGAGACTGGTGCTGACTAGAAAAGGACAGGTATATTGAAAAATACCTTTTCGATAAAGGGGCGCTGTGAAGTCAGGATTTTATTTTAGAGTTCATTAGAAAGTCACTACTAGGCCCGAAATACTCCATCCTTATGCCATCGAAATACCACGCTTTCGAACGAAGCATTTTGCTTCCTCCATCCTAGTGCAAGCAGCAAAGTCCGAAAACTATTATTTGACGTTATTCAAGGCTAGAATACGTAGTCGTATTACAGATAACATTCTAGATAAACGCGTATCATCATCGTCACATGTCGCTTTACATCCGATAACATTGTTATCAATTCAAAAAAGTCGAAGAATCCATGAGTAACCAAATGACGATATTTTTTTGAAAACAAAATAATTCTGTTCAGAATTTTCTCTTGTTAGGTTTTAAAGGGATTCACAAGCGTTTGCGAATTTGCGTAAATTAAACTACTAAAATGTTAATAGATCTGTTTTATATCAGGATACATTCAAATCTTTTTATTTTCATACCTATTGGAATACTGATCACGAAACACCGTACGAGATACACAGTGCAAAATGAAAAGAAAAATAGAAAATGGCTTTTTCTTTCGCCGTCATCGCCAGAATGACGGCTGTGGTCGGTTTTAATTTTTGCAGTTCTTCCGTGTCTCTTTCTGATTTTAGAGATCTATACATTACTATTAGCTTTCGTATACGAAAGTCTCCCGCTGTTGGAAAAGTCCAATTAGAGTCGACACTTTTTGTGATATAGCGGGTTCTTGCAGAACGTTGTACAATTTTGGGCCGTATGTTCCAGACTCACGTTATATTTTAGTTATGAATAAAGATGTTGAATTTACTATTTGGTTACAGATATTAAAATAAACAAACTTAATAATAGGTAGCTAGTAAAAATTCCCGTTTAGTTCAATTTGGCAAATGAAATTTTCTAAATGAGTTTCTGAGAGTTCTGTGTAGTACCCCGGAGTCATATTTCGTTGCTCTGGTACTCATAGTAAAGGGATGTTTCCCAATTTGAGACCAGATAATTGGTGCACTTGTCTATCTCATTTCGGATATCAACTAGGTCTAAAAATTATTCTCTAGGGCTGTGATTTATCATTATAGTTTAGTTGAACTAGATTTGAATTAACCGATGCTGTTGTCTGACACATTCGTAATGAGAGAAAAGAAGGAAAGAAGAAATATGAAATAAATTATACAATCCTTATTATTGTACGGCTAAAGTTCAATGCAAGCCCTCTCATTTCAGTGTCAAAATAAATTTGTGAGGCGACGGAACCATTCGTTCCTGTAAGTAGTTAAGACGGGTGATCCTTTTTAAATTTTCCACCCCAAAGTTACTTTAGCTCTGTTGATTAATTCGGTGGCCAGTATCCCGCTGTGACGCTCCTGCCGCTTGATTGCTTACTTCTTTTCTTTTTTTTCGTATACAAAGTCGGTTTCTTTGCAAAATGTGTCGTGCCAAAAAAGAAGACTGGCTGCATACTGGCTGGTTCATTATCTATTTTTTCGAAAGCTTGAAAAATATGTGGTTCCAACTTTGTCCTTTTGGATTTCGAATTTATCTTGTTGAATACGGTAACATAAAATTATCACATTATGCCTCCGCGCAAGGTGTCGTGAGACAAAAAAACACTATGAAGATCGAGATCATCAAAATTCTAAAGGGTTTATGTACCTCAGTTCACATAGATTTCTATAACACCTGTTCATAATCCTATTCAGTCTTTAGAAATGCTCAACCACTAATCTTGTTATGCAAAGTGACGATAGTTCTTGACTGTGGGCTCATTTTGCTTGCAAATTGATCAATCTACTCAGGTGAGCCCAGAATGGGATCTCAATCGCGGATTTGAATATCATTCATATTGAATTTGAGGACATTATTGTTGTTAGACAATGCTCTTTGTGTTATATGGTTATAAAGTTGATTATTGTGTTCTGTCAAATAGTAAATAGGTATTTAGTTTAATTATATAATAACTGGAGTCAAATTATTTCAACGGATTATTCTGTGATTCGAACTCCCACGAGTAGTTCTCAAATGGTTGGATCAAAGACAACAATATCATGTGTCTTATCGATTAGATAAATCGTAGTAACACATTGGTAAATACAAAAATTAATAATAATAAAGTGCTAGACAACCACTCTAATTACCTGGTCTCACTCAAACTGGGTAGTATGAGTACCAGAGTAGACACAATAAGTAAGAACAACCAGACCAGACACAATTCAGAAAGTTCAATTAAAAGTTATCCTAGTAGGAATCGGACCCGAGACCACGGGGTTGTCAAATGTAGAAGAAAGAAGAAGATCAATTCATAAGAAATTTGTGTTCTGTTCGTCAATTAAGACATTGAAAATGATGGAAGTAAAAGTTAAAAGGATGACTGTGTTAAAAAGTTACATAATTACTAGATAGGGTAAACCTAAAGAGTGTGATGAACGGATGAAGATTCACTAAAGTTGTTATCTAAAATAAATCACAAGGTAATAGTGCCAAAGAGTTACCCACCTGAAGAAGATAAGCCGATGTAGAATGCTACGTAGCAAATACAACAATGCAAGAAATTATTCGATCCCATACCCACTAGTGTTAGACAAAAATGCAAAGAAATCAATGGAAATTGTGTTATATGTGAAACGGGCCCTGTACTCCTCGCCTCCACATCGGCCTCCGGAGCGTGGTCGGGTTCAGATTATGTGTGTGCTTTTGCTGTGGGACGCACACCCGAAGCTCGACCAGCCGGCAGTACCGAATGGTATGTTCAATAAATAGAAGAAACATCGTATTTAACAATTGAAATATCATATTTATATTATTTAGCCTTTGTACAAATATTAAATACTTTAACACATACTCGCTCACGCACGTACTCCCAACACACGAACACACGTACATTGTTTCTTGTCATAGCGACGCTGATCATATATTTTTTTAAATAATATTATGTTCTTTATACACCTAGACGGAGTGAGCCTGGTGATCTGTAACACAGGTCCCCAACCTAGTACAGGCTCCAGCTCTTACCAGGGAACTTGTTCCCTTGTGACCTTCCTGAGAGAAATAAAGCATTTTGTATTTATATTTATTTATTACTTTTTATAGCTATCATTATTAAAATTGTTTATTTAGTTTGTCTTATTTCTTTATTACGGTAATTACAACTTTTTATCGTTTTTATCGCAAAGAACCGATCCGAGAATGACCCGGAAAGAAACAAAAACAACTCACCTAATCGCTTTGAAATCTCCGAGTTGTGCATCTTTGGGTTATCCTGTGCGATCTTCCGTCTCTGCAGCCTTGACCAGACCATGAAGGCGTTCATGGGCCTTTTTATGTGCTCTTCCTGGGCCTTCTTCTGTTGTGATTGGCCGTTCATGGCGGAGATCGAGCCCATGGTACCGATGGCTCCCATGGCCGACATGCCCATGGGAAAATGGCCCATGGAGCTTGCGAAACCCGTCCGGTCGCACATCGCGCCAGCGGCACTGTCAACAAAAATAAATGTAAATCAAGTTAGAAATTTGCTATTCTCACAGTTAATTAAAAGTCCTTAATCCGTAGATCTAGACTACAACATAATTTACTGTGATATGGTTTTAAAAATGTCATAAGCGACAGATACTGGAAAGAAATAACAAAATTTACATCAAAACTATAATTATTAATTCTTCACTGTTAATGCAAGCAAATATAAACGTTGTTCTAATCCTAAAGAAAGTAGGTAAAGCACTTGTGTTATGGAAATTGGGAACAACGAAGTTACCAGGAACGCCCAGATCGGAGACAATGAAAAAGTTAGTTTTTCTACACTGATCCGACCGGGGATCCAACCTGGCACCTCAGAGATGGCGACACCTGGAAACCGGTGTGTAAGACACTCGACCGTGAAGGCCATCATGTCAGACTTTGGAACGCACTTCTTAACACCGTTCGCGAAAGTAAATCGCCAGATATTTTCGAAATGAGAATAAAAGAACATTATTTAGCCACAATTTCACTGATTTCTTAATTATTATATTAGGAAATTTATATTTATCTAAGTATGTACACAGTCTATGACTTAATGTTTTTATTATGATATTGTTTTTGTGTCTGCATGAAGATTTTTTCTTTAAAAATAAGCAGGATCTTTTGTTTGTGTTTTTCTTTTGTTGAATGTGAATTGTGTGTGTCCTGGACCACAAATTATTAAATAAATATATCATTTTTATAAATGTAATATCTAATCTAATTATAAATACACTGAAATTGTTAACATCTTTACTGTTAACAAGTCGTGCACCTGTTGGTAAGCGACACGCCTCTCTATAACAGTTGCAGTGCCCCTGAGAGCTTTTGCAACAATCTGAGCGGAACTGCCACTGCGCCCGTCAACCTAAGTCATAAGTTGACAAGTCCCATGTGCCTATAATATCACCAGGACCCCGATTCAGAACTCTTCGATATTTTAACCGAATCTTTCGATTGGATATCGTTCTCGAATCGAAGGGCGCTTTTCGAGCTATTCAGAACATTCGAGTTAAGCGTTCGATCCGGATTCGGATACGATATGGTTATTCCAACAACGGATATGGAATTAGTCGGCGAATATAGATTATAAGAAAAATGACATCCTTTTACACACATTTTTAAGACTTTAAAGGCTAACTAAACCTAATCATCTTAAAGTTACACCAAACTAAAACCTAATCATTTTAAAGTTACACCAAATTACACTAAATTTGTAAATCATTCGAAATAATTCCCTATAGCAAAATGTTATTACAGTATTGTCGCATTCTTCGATGATATAAATAAATAATGTGCCAAAATCTTCAAATATTTTTAAATGTCAGCACAATCTTTGAAGGGTTATTATAATGTACGCGTTAGTATGTTCCTATGCACTAATTTACAATTTAGGGTTTAAAATGCAAATAAATAAATTGAATTTTGTTAAATAGATTATAGTTTATATAGTTATATAGATAGAGAGTTCAATTGTATAGGGGAAAATTTTATGAATGTTATACGATAAAACTCAAATTTATATTACCAATGTTAAAATATGTATTACGTCATAAGTGTATTTTGCTCTCTCTCACATGTAGTTCCTACCATAGTTCTAAGTTTGTGTACTATAACACTTAAAATTATATGTGAAATGCAAATAAATAAATAAATAAAATATAGGAAAGCATTAGTCTCGCATTAAAATAAATTAATAAATTTGAACAAAATCCAGATTTTATTTTAAAGTAATAAAAGATTTTCATGTTACATTCTTGCTTTGTAAACAATAGGACGTTCGGTAACTTTATTTTGATAACTTTGTTCTGAATAACGTTTGTAGTCTTTGCCGGTCGAGAAGCTCGAGTAATCGTATGAGTGTGACGTCATTTCGGTTCGGTTTCGATTACGACAGTTCGAGAGACGTTCGATTCGGTTATTGTGACTAAAAATGAGATATCGTACGATATCTTGTGGAATCGGTCGACAACAGAGTTGTCGTAAGGTTCAAAATCGACCTGCTGGACCGTTACCCTTTAAAACCAAATCCCACTTATGCTCACATTACTGCTTACTGCTTGACGGCAGAAACAGGTAAGGAACTCTACTGCTACTGCTTATATATTATACAAAGTTAAGACTGTGGCATTAAGAAAAGAGCAAATGATTCATGTGAAGGCGTGAACGTGAGAGAATAGGAGAAGGAAGCCAGACGGTGGCCAACGTTTGCGTATGTACATTTTTTGTTTATTTTTGTTTTTCAAAATAAAAAGACGTCTATAGCCGGGGCTGTAAAGGTATCTAACTGGGTGACGACATATCATACATTTCTCATAGATGGCGCCATGGCTAAGAAGTCGTTGAAAAAACCAAATACAAAGATACGACCCAAGCACATAGAAAAATTCGTGAGGTTCGCTCGGTTCGTTCCGTGATTTAGCCGCTCACGCGATTCATGCGTCTCTGGAAGCATACCACACCTAGAGATGCCGGTGATGATTTTATACCGATTTATCGGATATCGAAGTTATAACAGGTAAAAGAAGTAATACTAATTGCTATTTCGTTGACTACTCTAGCAAACCATAAAGTTTTTATTGTCTGGGTCTGTAATTTAAAAAAATAAACAACTTCAAAAATACGTCACGACAATCGTGTGTGTTATTGTTTGGGCTGATGATGTCGGTGTTTATTTTATTGAAAACATACCGTAAGTTGCGTTTTTTAAGTTTACGCCGAATATAAATGTTTATAAACGATACTTTAAGGAGTAATTTCATGGTAAACATTAGAACCACGCAAACGGAATATTATCATATTTACCCAAGTACACCAAAAATTTCATTAGTGCTTTTTAAGTGCAGGATTTGTGGTGTATTACTGCATTTTATTGGAGATAAACATCTCCATTGTTGTATTACGGAGGGTATTTATTTAGTAATGCAGAATAATAATTTTTATTTTTAAAAACTTGTATTTAAACTGAATCCTTTTCTATTTTGCGAAACCAAATAGCCGCCATTTTGCGGTAGGATGAGCGCATCGCGTGAGCGGTTAGTTGGTATAGCGTCTGGCATGGTATGCTAGAGGACGTAGGTTCAAATGCGGCCGGGTCGAAGGAATTTTTTTGGAGTGTTCGATCTTTGTGGTAATAATTATAACAAACTAGTGGAGTAATTAATTTCACATAAAAATAAATGAATATAAATTCAATAAAAATTTCTTAGGAAATAGGATGATTTCCTTCCAAAAATACCATATTAATTTTTTACCCTTTTTTTCGCTTACCACCAAACGCACGACCGTACATGTTTCTGTGTATTACATATTGTGACAAACTCTCAATAAGTAAACAACAAAAATAAAACAACCTCTAAACGAGATTAAGTTTTTTGTAAGCTACACGCCTGTCCATGACAATTACAGTGCCACTCAGAGCTTTAAATTGCAATGATCTGAGGAGCACTGTCACTGTGCCCGTCACCTTGACACGTAACTTGACAAGTCCCATGTGCCTGTAATTTCACCAGCACCCTTGCCCTTCAAAACCGGAACACAGCAATGCTGACATTACTGCTTGACATTTCGCAGAAATAGGTAAGGTAAGGACCTCTACTGCTACGTTAATAAATTATTCAACAGTGTAATGATTTTTATAATGCATTACTGCTCATGAAAAATTACAACTACAAATCACAGTAGTAATGAAAGTGTAGCAAATTGTATAATATGATGTTTTTGAAGGGAATGAAATCCGAGTGGTTATGGGAAAACATCGTTTTATTTATTTTTATTTTGAATTTTTTTATTTTTTTGAAATTCTTTTTATTTTGAAAAGAAAATAAAACTACGACTAGAAACGCTCACTACCGTCTCACATCTATCTCTCTCATTCACTCCCTTCTATTCCATTCACATTTATCATTCCATCCTTGCCTACTGTTGCTTTCTTAATTAGTTTCTTATAAGCTGCATTTGTTACTTCCAACACTTGGAATTTTACAGTAGAACGATGTTCAAAAAATTACCGGATGCTGTTAAAGAATTATAATTTAATTCTATAAGAAAATTGAAAATGAAATTGCATAGTTTCTTAGTTACCCAATGCTACTAAATATTGATGATTTTTTACTAGATAACATAAATTGTGAAATTTACTATTGTATGTTAAATTTACAATCTAATATAGGTAATATAATATAATATAAGACCTGCAATTTTGACCATATTTTTCAGCGAACAAATATCTTATATTCTTATTTACATTAATTCAGAAATTTCAGTCTTATAAATTTTTCATCAATCAATGGCAATTAAAACAAATTAAAAAAAATTAAATTGTAATATTTTTTCGCCACATTTTTCATTGTAGATCAATATCAACAATATAAATAAACAATTTTAGTATAATCTGTGAACGCAAACGGCGCTGCAAAATTTGCTGTACAACATTGTCAAGTATTTTGCTTCTATAAACTTTAGTAGAGGTGTCGAATTCATTGCCGGTGACTACATGTACTCATTTATCAACGCATGTATACTTAATCCTCAAACAAAAGCTTTGCAAATCAAATTTCGTGCACTGACCGGCAAATTTTTTAGCACAATGAATTTTTTTGTACACCCTAAAAATTAATAACGCTCTCTCACAATTCTTCTTTAACCTGCGCAGTATCTAGAACATTAATGCATTAGTAATATGGTTGCGAATCTCGTGAACGGTGGGTCTTAAAGTGTAGGTGTTTTGAAAATAAGTGCCCCTACATATGGAACGATACCACGTGTCTGTTGCGATTTTTAATATATTCTGCCACAATTACTGTGCTCATAAAGGTGGAAAATATTAGTACTTAAACATGAGGGTGAGTTTGTACAGTGTGAGTTTGTAAGCGGTAGGATTTTTATACTTAAATTTTTCGCAGCTAAATGCAAGTTCGGAATCTTGCAATAGAATTAAGGCCTTATAACGATGCGCTTAAAGCACTTATAAGTATTT